CCTCATCTGATGTAGTTTTTATATCAAACTGTTGTACTTCTCTCATGCGACGCCCGGACATTGGTGATGTAAGGTAACCACGACTCTCTGGAAAGCGTCGAGGTGTTTTCTCAGTGACGATGTTCCCCATAGCGTCATCATCAAAAGTTGCGAGTCCTGGTTCGGTCTGATGCTTAATATTGACGGACGTGAACGATTCGTTCATCTCCGTGACCAGGGCCTTACACGACTCCACTTCTGCCTGTCCTCTCTGATACAACACTATCGTTTCAGTGTTATCGTTTCCCTCTGTAGCTTTAATGGACCACTTCAGGGTATTTAGCATACTGTTCTTTAGACGTTCGCATTGCCGTAAGGAGTCGTCTAATTTACTCTTTTCGTCTTTGAAAGATGCGATCAACTTGTCAGTGCAGTTCTTCTGAAGCTCGTCAAGCCGTTTGTCGATCCTATGGCGCAGATCTGTAATACTCCGTAGAGCGATGTCTTGGTTCTTTACCATGACTTGTAGCTGTTCCTCAAAGTCCTTCACTAAAGACTTCATGAACTCTGCTCCTTTCGTCAGCGCTGCCTGCATATCTGTCAGTTGTGATTCTGCTTTTAGCTTCTGAATGTATTTCGCCGCTATTGTGACTGCTTCACAACGTCTATGATCTTCAAAAACGCATATGCTACAACCGAGCAGTTTGTGATCTTCACAATACCAAACCATATTCTCGTCGTGTTGGTCACAGTGAGGAACAGTCGGATTATGTTTTGGTCTATTGCTGTCGTGCCTGGTAATATCTAAAATATCACATTCAATATGTATTATATCATGGTGATCAACTTTACAAGTCTCACAAAAACCGGATTCCATTTTCTTACACCAGAACTTGGCAGGATTGGACGGATTTCCTTTGGTTTGACAAGGTGTGCAGTACAATGGTCCAGACGACTGTTCCTTAATCTTGATAAGTTCTTGGATCACACCATTATTTGGAAACTGTTTGGCCCAATCTTCCTTGGTTTCCGCTTGATTGACAGGCGTGACCATCCTTCTACAAACTGGACATGGAAAGGATGTCGCTAAAGCTATCTTGCCAGAAAACGGCTTGATGATGTAGGTCCCGAGACAATCCTGACAGAAGGAGTGGAGACACGGTAAGGACTTGGGTTGCCGAAGTCGCTCCAGACAGATTGGACACTCCAGTAAGTGTAAG